TAGAGTTGTGTATAATTGTTTGAACAGATGGATGTTTATTTTTATGGCCAAGACTTCAACTAACACTATAGGCTGTTGTTACAGTCTGTAAATAACTTAATCTCCCTTCCTTACCCCACAATGATGCAAGCATACATTTCCCAGCTATTGTTTTAACTACATTTTATTTCAGTGATGAACTGAATCCATGGCACAATCATTTTAAGTTTTACATCAAGCACATCAGTAAAAATACTGATTCTCCAGTCCAGGCAAAGGGTTGCTTTGAAATACAACATTTAAATTAATCTATGTGACAGCAATTATTTGAATTTTAGGTCCAGTAATTTGCCCCAGGAGTGGCATAGAAATGATACAATGATGATTAGATAACTGAATATTTGGTCTTTTTTTTAAATTATTTTTTATTAAGTGAGTCATAAAACATTTTTTCACAGTAGCTGACAGGATAAATTAGTCGTTACATTAAAGTATTAACTGAAGACAAAACAAGACTGAGGTTTAAAACAAACAAACAAAACAAGCTATGCTATATAACCAGTAATGCTGGTGATAGACATCAGCAGATCTATGTTTTAATGCTGATGTTTCTAGAACAGTTTGTCAGTGTCAAATGTGAAGCAGTTTGGGTGGTTGATATGATTGATCATTGACAATGAAGATGCTGCCAGCAGCAATACGCTGAGCATGCATGTTTTAAACCAGCACTACACTTGTATGTATGGAAATAAGTATTTGATCCCCTACATATTTTCTAATTTTGGCGACATACAAAAACAAAACAAAACAGACAAAAAAGAAAGATTGTCAGTCTATAATTTGAATAATAGGTTCATTTAAACTGAAAGAGATAAAAATATCAACAACAAAAAAATCCAGAAAAACACACATTATCTAACATTTATAAATTATTTGCCAGTTGATCAAGGGATAGACAGTGTTTAACAAATGTATTAGACCACCTGTCATAAAAATGTTGGTATGTGAACCCACAACCAATCAGATTCAGTCCAGAAGGGATTCCATGATGTGTGAAGATGTTGTGGTAGGCATTCTTGTTCATGATGCTGTTGATTTTCACTAATTTGTCCACACCATTTCCACAAATGGAACCCCATACCATAATGAAATCTCCACCGTGTTTCACTGTTGGTGCAATGCATCTGGCATCAAAATGTTCTTCAGCTTTTCTGCTGACATAAACAGGACAATGCAGAGTACCTTCTCCCGGTCATCAACAGTCCAGTGTTTGTGCAAATCTGAGGCATTTCTGGATGTTTGCAGGCCTCAATAATGGCTTCTTAGCAGCTATTCTTCCTTTTAAGCCTTGTTCCATCACTCGTCTGTTACGGTCATTCTGGAGACTTTGTCAGACTCTGATCTAGAAGCATTCATCTCTGCCTGAAGATTAGCAGTGGTTTTCCTTCTGTCTCTAGCACTTAAAATCTTAAGGTGTCTGACATTTGCTTCAGTTAACTTTTGTTTCCTGCCTCTTCCTTGGTACATTTTGTAAGTACCAGTCTTGGCAAGTGACTTCAAAGCATACTTGCCCACACTGTGAGAACACTTTATGTCTTTCCGTTTGTCTCAGAGAACATTCAGCATCATGAAGTGCTTTAATTCACACTCAGCTCTCGATGTTTTACCATTTTAAACAGGAATAAGGGAATTCTTGCAGTTGGCCACCAGGCTTTCACACATCTGGGGAGGTATTTTAGACCACTTCTTTTTGCAGGTTCTCTTCAGATCTAAGGTTCTGAGACAGTTGCGTAGAAACACAGAACTCCAGTTCCTTCCATAGATTTTCTGTAGCATTAAGGTCTGGAAACTGGCAAGGCCACTCCATGACCTTAATGTGCTTCTTGTTGAGCCAGTCCTTTGTGGCCTTGGCCAAATGCTTTGGATCATTATTTTGCTGGAAGACTGTACATGTGCCCTTTTGAGCAGGGCGACCTTGCAGGCACTGCAGGAATTTAAACCATTAGGACACAGTGTGTTACCAATGGTTTATTTCGTGACTGTAGTCCCAGCTACATTGAGATCAATGACAAGTTATTCCTGTGTAGTTCTGGGATGATTCCTGACCTTTCTGATGACCATCGATGTTGCACGAAGTGAGAGCTTGTGTGGAGCTCCAGACCAAGGAAGACTGATTGTTGTTTTGTCCTTCTTCCATTTGCAAATTTTGCACAGAGAGCTGTCACCTTCTTACCAAGTTGTTTGCTGATTGTCTTGTGGATCTTTTCCAGCCTTGTGAAGCTCTACAATCTTGTCTCTGATGCCTTTGAAAAACTCTTTGTATCTTCAACTTCACCACCATGGGCAAGACCAAAGTGTGATCACTTGGACAGGTTTCTTCCACATATGTACACATAAACAGTTTGGATGATCAGTTTCTGAAGCAGAATGGGCTTATACATGTATCTCTTGGCAACATAACCAATCTGTGGGAGCCAGAATTGTTGTTGGTAGGAAGGGGATCAAATATGTATTTCCTTTGATCAACTGGAAATTAATGTATAACTGTTAGACAATATTATTCTGGATTTTTCTTGTTGATATTATTTTCTTTCTCTTACAGTTGAAACAAACCTACCGTTAAAAATTATAGGCCATTTTTTATTTATTTATTTTTTTGTATGTGACCAAAAATATAAAATATGCAGAGGATCAAATGCTTATTTCCCTCACTGCATCCCAGCTTAGCGTATAATGCGCAAATGGCTTGAACTAACAGTGTCTGACCTGAAGCTGTAAATTATGGCTACGGAGGGACCTCAGCATAGGTAGGATGATTAAGAAGCGCATATGCTGCTTCGTAGACCAACTGTTGTTTTCATTAATTTGTTTGGTATAATGATAAAGAGACTGCACAGCTATCACCACATAAGTTTTCTAATGAACTGGTGTGAGTATGCTTCAGTGTGAAGACGAGACACACAAAAACATATTAATCATTACTGTGTTCCTGTGTGTGAGCAGTACCTGTGAACGCATGTGTCTTATTGCACAGATGGATGAAAATGAGGTGTGAAGAAAAGATAAATCTCAAATCTGTCCGAGTGCCATCTACAGATTGCAAGAGAAAAAAAAAGGACATCTAACGCAGGGAAATTTTCAAACTTGGCTGGACTAACAGAATATCCTTGATATGCAGCACACAATCTATGCGATCCTACACAGACGGGATTACCAAGCAGAGCCTTGGCAGGGAAAGAACTCTTACGGCTGCATGCTTACAAGCTATTTCACTGGCAAAATGGTACGGCAGTATTTGATCATGGTGGAACAGTGGCTTCGTGTTGAGCACTGTCACCTCACAGCAAGAAGGTCTTGGGTTTGAACATGCTCTTTCTGCACAGGCCTCTTTCTTAAGGAGTTTGCAGTATGAATGACAGATGAAAGTTCTGGATTCTCATGACCCTAAACATAATAAATGGCCATAGAAAATAGATGCATGTTTACGTGATCACATGAAACAATGAGGAGAGCTAGTGGTAATTAATTACTAACATGCATTCTGATTTTTCTTGAGATCCCCATCAGTGAAAATCCCAAATGGTTAGAAGATATGTCATGAACAAACTGAGCAGTTAAACTGAAACTTTTCCAACTGAAATTGCATTGTGTGATGAACATCTCAACAACACAGACTGAGATTTCCAGGGTTTAATATGTATTAAATACGTCAACGTTGTGGTGGGACTTTCTGTCTCACGATTCTTCTTTAGACTCACTTTGGAGGTCAAACATGCACATTCCAAAGTAAGTAATAGCAATTAATTTTCAGACATACATGCACAGAGATGAGTTTTTAGGGTTGAAATCAACAATCAGAGAGGGACTTTTAGGGAAAGACTAGAACACAAACTGGTCAAAGTGGGCAAAAGCTCACAGGCACCCAGTGGCCTCAAAGTACCCCAGTTTATTATGTGTCAACTGATTTTTGATACAATCTAATTTTGTTGGGAACTGGCACCTTTCACAATTATATTATTTTAGAATTCATCCTACATCCACCCAACCGGTCGAGGCAGATGACCGTCCCTCCCTGAGCCTGGTTCTGTCGAAGGTTTTTTTCCCTTGTGGGGGTTTTCGGTTCCTTCCCACTGTTGCAGACTGCTTGCGGACTGCTGAAGCTTATAGGGAATCCAAATGTTTTGGATTGTTGGGTGTTTCTGCCTTTGTTAAGCGCTATGAGATGACTTGTAAATATGTGCTCTATAAATACAATTGAATTGAATTGAATTGAATGATGCCATGTGTTTCATTATTACGTAATTCTAAGGCCCTGTCTTGTAGAGGGACCCTGGGTCAAAATATCTAATATCTTTATTTTAAGAACTTGCATTGTGCACACATGAAACCTATTTCAAAGTTTAATGTGTTTAATTAAACTAACCCAGTCTCAGTCACACATGGAGTCAGGTTGTGAAGACAGTTTTATCACTCTTGTTTTAGCACAGGAAAACTAGACAGGTTCTGAATCTCTGGAACAGGATGATTTCAATACTGTTGTATTTTCCACCTGGAAAACATGGACATGCCCTTCAGTTAAACTAGTACCAGATAAAATATGTTGATAGGATGAAGGAAAACAACTGACTGACTCATGGTACTAGATGAAAAATCCTTTAGCAATCTGTCCAGTAGCCAATAGAAATGTCACTTTAAAAGAAAGTGGTGGTTAAGCTGAACTATGAAGCTTTGAGCTTATAAACAATGGATAATTTGATTAGGTACCATGAACAATGATCGCCACCTTACAAAAACAAAAAACAAAAGTGGAGTGATGGTGTACTATAATCTATGGCTCTAAAAAAGCTTTGTCAAGTCTCATAAAGAGACTGTACTCACATGAGAAAAGAACCCATGTGGTCATGCAAATTATATCTGTCAGGTGGAAGTGATATAATTAGGTTGATTTTTTCTGCCTAAACCTGATCAAGCTTAAACCATAAAGGAAGGAGATTGGAAAACGTAGTTTTATTAACAGCTACATAACTTTTGGAAGGCACTGACAAGTGATTTGCTGAATCCAGAGAGCACGTTACTGGAAAAAAAAAAAAAAAAAAAAATCACTCTACATGATTTCAGCAATGAATATTCCATTTTTTAGCTTATATATGGAAAGTTGTTTTTTTTCTGGAAAGGCGACAGCATAAAGAGTATGGGTTCGAAAGACTCTGGCTTTTACCAAGTTGGAGGATTTAACAAAAAACAACACCGGGAGGTAGTTTTTTCCTTCTTTTTTTGTCTGTCCCTAAATGCCACACAAATTCACAATAGTGGAAGATGTACTCAGAGGCCCCTTTATCACCGAGCTGGTTCCAGTGCCAGTTCAGTGCCTGACTTGGCAGCAGTTCTTTGTGTTTCCACCACCTAAGCAGGCTCCAAAAACTGGTGCTTTTCAGGAACCAACTCTTTGGTGGGCCAGAGCTAAGCACAGAGTACGTCAGGGGCTGGGGGGGGTATCGTGACCTCCGAGAGCGATGAACACACAAGCGGTGGTTTGTGTGGTTTTTTGCCAGGAGCAAGAAAGAAGAAAAAAAAAAAAAAAGTTGGAGTCCTGTGTGGACTTCCGTATGGCATGAGCATTGTTCGGTAAACAGCTACGTATGCAGTGATGTATGGCGTGGCTCTAACTTGGCTCCTTGCCAATGGAAAAGCAGGTTCTTATGAGGTGCCAGATTGGAACCAACTAAGTACTGGCCCTAGCACCAGCACAGGAAGGTGGAAAAGGAGTAAGATATAGTAATACCACAGTGTCATACAATACATAAAGTGTTATAATTTTATTGAAATAAACATGCAGACATATTTGCTTCAAAATATATTTAAAGTAACAAAAGCAAAAGTACTTAGAATGCAGAATGGATCATTTCAGTATGATGGATTGTGTTTAACTATAATTATTGATGTACCATCACTTTAAGATATTAAAGTTGCTGTCGCAGTTCACCCTGGAGATGATACAAAAAACCCCAAAAACTCCTATATCATCATAAAATAATCCAAATACATGCACAGTTGTGTCAATAAGGATGCCTGAATATCCCTGGGTGAGTGCAGCAGGCTGCTACATGACAAAGAACTGCAGTTGGTTTAATAAAATCCAGCTGAAACTAACCTTAAAGAAGGTCATGGTGGACCCATCCTCAACCACTCCATATTCTATCTTTGTCTGCTTGGCCAGGTCATCTGCAGAGTCGATGGGCGACTCCATCCTCTCGACAGTGAGGAAGGCCGCCAGGTTTGCAGTGTAGGAGGAGATGATGATGAGCGTGAAAAACCACCAGATTCCTCCTACAATTCTGGTGGAGAGGGCTTTCGGCATGAGCTCAGATCCTGAACGAGAGGAGCAGAAGAAGTGGTGAGGCCTTGTACAGGATTAGACTGGAGCGGGGGCAGCGCATAGACCAGGCCAGGCATTGCTGGGCTGGGTTAGTCTGCATCTGTTGCCTTTATCACACATTCAGACAGATATGGACACAGTGGGCAGTATCATGGTTGGATCTTGTGACTGATGTTTAGCCTTGCATTGGCGAATCACACTCCTTATGTGCACTGGACAACCTGTCTCCCTTCGCAGTACTGCCTCTCCTACAACTAATATTTCAAAGATATTTCTTCATCTGTTCCCTTCAAATTCAACATATGACTGAAAAAAATAGCTCGAACTGGAGCAGGTCAGTCTAACCACACACCATCCAGTTATATGGCAGTACAGCCATAAGGGTTAGTGGTAATTAATCCCCAAACCAAACAAACTCCTTCATCTGTACTACCTGTGCCTACATTTTACATTCTGTTCTCGAGCAAGACTTAACCCTATCTGCTCCAGGGGCGCCTGTCATGGCTGATCATGTGTACTGAGTCCAAAAAGTCCAAAAGAAGTAAAAAAGCAACAATTATGCATCCATGGTGTCTGCTGCTGTCTGTGTCCGTGTTGACAAGGCATCTGAATCAATGCTTTTTAATGAATATTTGTCATTAAAGTTTTATGTAGAACGTATGCAGCAGATGAAGGAGTGTATGTCTGCATGGGTAGCCGTGAAAGTAATGAAGGGAGGTTTGTTGTCCAGGTGACAGAAGGTGGGCCTGGGTTGTATCAGGACTATTTTACTCAAGAGGCATAGGAATTTTAAAGCTAGGATTTTGCACATTCACGCAGATGGAAAGCTGACAAAGAGTCAGAGTTAATAGGAGGGTAACAACTCTGTGCCTCACTCTGTTTGTAAGAACTTCAATCTGCGCGCTCACTTTTTATCAAAAATTCTTTCTTTCTCACAGTCCCTTGAGTGAGCTGTCTAATAAAGAGGGAGCATACAGGGGAAGACATGACAGCCAACTGCAGTGTGTGCCCGCTTCTACACATACGGCAAAGGGACCTTTGGAATAGCAAGCTGGAAAATTCTTCCTTTACTGTTTGACCCAAGAACACATGAGGGTTTTGGGAAATTCAAACTGGTAAACTCACCTATTAAGTTATAATAACCAAGAAATTGTAGGCACAATGACCATGTTAACTTTCCCATATCATAAAGAACAAAATATGTAAATAACACTGATGGTTTTTTTTGGCCAAGTTGACCATTACTATAGAACAGTGACAGGAAAGGTGATGAAGAAGAGTGGGGAAATGACAAGCAGCAAATCATGCGTCATGAGTCAGAATAGATCCATGCCACTGCAGTGGGGACCTTTAGCCCCTATTCATGGGTTACCTGCTGAACCAGTTAAGCTGTCATTCATTCATTCATTCATTCATTCATTCATTCATTCATTCATTCATTCATTCATTCATTCATTCATTCAATTCAATTTAAGTTTAATTATATAACACCAATTCACAGCATATATCATGTCATAGCACTTAACAAATTTTAAACAGAGAACAGAGAGTCCAACAATCCAAATTTCACTTTGGATTCCCTGTGAGCAAGCAAGACTGTGAGAAGGAACCAAACACCAAAACAAAAAATCGATCAATGGGGAGGACAAATTAAACCTTTGACAGAACCCGGCTCAGGGAAGGCAGCCATCTGCCCGACCATTTGTGGGGTGAGCACAGGGATGGTGGGAAAAAGGGATCATGACACCCAATATTACAGTTTATAAACTGACAGGACTAGCACAACTCAGTATTTTACTCATTGCGCACTGAAGTAATGCATGAAGATTCTAGATTGTAGAACCCTCTGCGAAGAAGCCCCATATCACTCAACCCACAGAGGTTTGTATTCATTTTATCCTGAGTATTATTGGATCTCAGTGCTCCATCCACATGGCAAAGCATTACTAGACAAGGAAAAACTGTGTGGGACATTCAGGCACACCCCTAGATTAGTCTAAATTCCATTTCAAGGACAGCGACTACTTGGCACAAATGATATGGAGGTCCTGAAGGGTCCATTCTCTGACCTGAATGGTCATACTACCAGAAATGAAGTGTTAATAACAAAATGTGTCTTTTTGCTGTCGCCTTTTATTGAGTTATATTTGTTACACTTTATTCATATCCTATACTGCACGGTAACTTTTTATTCTATCAACTACTGTACAAGTAGACTTACTCACCCAGCTTTGCCTGATATTTAATGCTGTAACAGAGGGAAAGTGTGAATATGGAGTCTTTTTTTCAATATGGATCTTGCATTAATATCCCTTTAACAGTTAAAAATCAATTCCACGATTGGAAGGTAGAGGGCATTCCTGAAGGCTAATCTCACAGAGTCATTTCTTAAAACCAGCAACAAAAAATGTGACTGCTATTAACGTCATTACATAAACACAAGGGAATCAGTTTTGTTAAGCCTCTTTTTTGCCACCATAAGGCCACACTGTCAGACCTGGCTCAACCACTGCATCAAAGTCACCCAGCCTTCCCAATAGCCACCCACTTTGCCCATTCATCCAAACCACAACCAAGAACAAAAATCCAGGAATTACAAGTGTTTAAAAAAAAAAAAAAAAAAGCATATTCAGTACTAATTCTGTTTGCTGTGCGTGGGACCCGGGTGTAGCTATCAGGTAAGGAATTAAAAGCTGAACACGTTAGTAGCTGCGAGGTTCTTTTCCTATTTCCCCTCAGAAATATGAACAGAAAACAAGGGGGAGGGGGGCACGCAGAGAGGCGAGTCAAACCCAAACAGAGCCTGGTTGGGGCTGACTGTCATGTACCCAAGGTAACGTCATGACCAAACAGCACATCCCACAGTTTTCTGGGGGGCGGGGCAGGCCACTTGGCAGGGGAGCCTCTCTACAGTGTAGACCAGCATGGTGCCATACAGACACTGTGTGTTCGTCCAGCCTTGTTTCACAGCCTTTGGCCTTCAGCCACATCTTCTCAACTGGTCACCCCTCCACATGTGTTCTACAGGCCTTTCAAATAACTGTACAATTCATTAGACTGTGTCTAGTAGCTAAAATACATGACATTTAAATAAATCTTGACGAGATCCTTCACAGTTATAAAAAAGTTTCATGCTCAGTGTCTGAATTATTTTTTTTGTTTTAGATGGGGCAAGGTTACAATTAACCAGTCATCATGTGTTTATTTTCAAATAACTGACATAAATACTATTTGCATCATACAAGTAAAATAAGTAAACTGCGAAAAAAGATTAGTAGCAAATTTGGGAATGTTAGTAAGCATGCAGTAATACGGCATAGCATGCAACCAGCCAACTAGAGAAATTAGCTATTTAGTTTTTTTGGAATGATTGATGTCTGTGAAATTAAACGCTCACATCATCCAAAAATAAATAAATAAATAAATCAAACATATTTTCACATACATCTAGTGGGATCTAGTCATTTAGATAGTTTTGCTTTGTTTGTCTAGATTTTGAGATCTGCATATACATTTCACCCTCCACCTCAATACAGCCGTGGACTTATAGCAATAAAACGTGTTATGTTGATTATCAAAAGTATGTAGAACACTATTTCCAGAAAGACATGTTGTCAAATAGCAACACCAAACAGCTCAAGTGAAATGTTGCCTTTTGATATAAATGAATATTATTACAAGAATATAGATCAATACAAACAACAGAGCTGATGGTTTATTTTTCCCCAAAATTTAGATAGTGGTTGAGCAACAATTTTAATTGATTGAACTGATTTGTATTTTACAATCAGAATCAGATTAATTTAACACATTTATTTGTTTTATTTTGGAAATGTATGAGTCTTTGAATATATTCTTGTCATATAGGCTTTGAAATTGCATCATTTTGTAATTACATCCTGTAAAACTCAAAAGGAAATTTTGGAAATCATCAAGATATTTTTTTTCACAGTAAAATATTTCACTGCTTTAAATTCAGTGTGATAACCGACATTAATTATTTTGTGGTTCACAATGATTGTACAATTCAAATTATTACAGTTATTTAGTTTGAGGTTGTCAGTGCTGTGAGCACCACACATGCAATTCCTTTCTCTTTCAGTGTACTGGACTGAAGGCAGAGACAGATACCAAACCTGCTCATATAAATCCAAAACCATCTGCATGACTTCATACCACTAAAGGTAAAGGGGGTTTACTCGTGTTTCTTGTGTTTTGTGTGAACTAACCGGTAAAGCAGTTTTCACCGTGTGCTCCATTCCACTGTTCTGATGCAAGGCATACATATATACCATGCTTTCCAAGGCCTAAATCATTACTACCTATTTAAATATGTTGCAGGGTCAATTGCTTTGAAAGAAATGCTAAAAAAAAAAAAAAAAAATGCAACATATCTCTCATTGTGACATGCACCATAAAGGCCAAAAGCCCCAAAGTATTAAAGTGATGACATTCAATTTCTCCTTATATTTCATTGTTTTTCTCAGTCCAGGGATGCCAACTAGTTGAGAAGATATGGCATTGGTCTGGCAGAAGGAAACAAAACCAAACAGGCAGGGTAAGCTGCTGAGTTCACATTCTTGTTCAATCTCACCCATTTGATTCATCTCAGGTATTCTGGTTGGGTACACTTACCTGCTCAGATGGCTGTAAAAAGATGAGGAAAAGAGGAGGGAGAGGAAGAAGGGGGGCCATGGAGAAGAGAAGCATGCAGGAGCACCATCCTCATTCACTGATCACTCAAATTCCATTCAAGTAATCCTGCTGGACTCTACCTGTGAAGCATCTAGCTACATGCACAGAGGCCCCCATGCATGTTCACGGGCCTGATCAAAGAGCAAAGTTGACCCCCAGCAAAAAAGTGGGACTTGTGCTAGAAAAAGAGGGGCAGGCAGAGGCGTCTACCTTGCTGCATGAGAGCTCCAACTCCGAACCAGAAACTATTTAGCAGGGTGAAATTGTTTTCCACTACATCCGAGTCAGGGTTGCAAGGGTGGGGGTTATACCACTCGTAGGGACTAAACCTGTGACAGTTAACAAAGAACACACATACACACATATATGTTTACTGAAGTTGCATAATGACACAAAGATATACAATAAAATAGACCAAGAGCGGTGGTCCAGCCTGGGGAGACAAGAGAGAAAAAACAAAGATTAGTGAGTTGTCCAGAGACACTTCCTAAATCAATAATTAACTAATTGGATTAGTAAATTAAAATTTTCCTACGTAAATTACTGTAATGTGGTGATTAGGATTTCTTTACTCCTTTTCTCGCTAGCCTACTAGCAAGAAGAAAAAAAAGAAAAGAAAAAAAAAAGAAAAAAATGGCTGCTCATCTGAATTTCTCTTGTGTGTTTTCAATTTTAATAACATACAATGGTTAGGGAGTGGGCTGGAATTAACACCACTCATAATCCAAAAGTGGCTCCTCATGTGGGCGTGCTCATATCAAAGGCATTTCCCTCAGTAATTTAATCGATGGGTTCTGAAAATAACTCCATTGTCAGCCGAGAAAAGAACTAATAATCCTTATAATCTAGGAGGAGCATTAATATTCAGCAGATCAAACGGTTCATTCCCATCATGCCCACGCCAGCCCTGGTGCTCCTTCTCACTCAACACACTCCTCAAGCAGAGAGATTTCTCATTTATTCATGTTAAATAAAAGTGACATTACATTAGTAAAGGTTGATTGGTCTACAATTAAGCATCCTGACCTGATTTGATTTGTGCTGGCGTAGACGGGGGAACGGGGCCCTATCTTGACTTAGGTTGTTTAACAGACTCTACGGTTTGATTTATCAAATTGCAATGCATAATGTAGACCGGTCTCAGTGTGGGTTATTTCCTAGGCTGGAAGTCAAAAATAATAACCTTAAGCAGATGTAACATCCGCCTGTAAGATAATGCAGATGAAACTGCACTGCTGCGTGTCAAGGTTTTAATCCTTTGTTCTCTGGGTGAAATACAGTAGGTTGAATACTGTAATGTAAGACTCTTCATACACATGTTTAAAGAAAGAAGGCTGCATCGATTAAAATAAAAGCATCATAACTGTACCCTGTCATTGGCTAATGACCTTTGCCATTATAATGTTGTTAGTGGGGGCGTTCCTTTTTATCCCGACAACACTCAGGAGGATACTGTGTCTTGTAGCTCAAGGACCTCTGAATGTCCCCGTGATTTCTGCCTTTAGAGAATCCTTGGTCTTAAATCAATCCCACTGCTCACTCAATTTGTCCCAGATTTGCTTGCTTGTCAGTTTGCAATGCCAAATTGAGTTCAGCTGAACTGTGACCTTGCTGTTGCATATGTGACTCTGTGACCCAATGCCTTGCGCAAAGGTCTCTGAGTCTGTTTCCTCCAATCATGTTGTGAAAAGCCAATTACTGCTCACCATGAACATGGATGAGTGAAGTGTCATCAGCTGAATGGCTGGCTGGACTGCCGCTGCTGCTGGTTGAGTCAGGGAACGTTAAACCGACACCATATACAGGAGACAACACAGCTTAACCTGTCTCTCACTATAGCACTGGTTGGCCTGTTTGCTGTCATTTTGATCCAATTACACTGCCCTTACATTATCTCAGGTCATCTGTTCTAGAGAGACAGAAACTTTGAGCAAGGTCAGTGCAGAGATAAGCCTGAACAAAAAAGACACAAATTTTCCAGCAGCACAGAAACAATGTAAGGCTTTTATCTTTCAAGGGGGCAGGGTCATCCTGCAGAAAACTCCAATGATGATGCACGTGATAACACCAATGTCAGGGGAGGTGATCAGAATGGTTCTGTCATAGGACAGTATATTATGTGTCTACACCACAGCTTTTGACTGATGGTGTTATAAATTCAGCAATGCAGAGAATTTATACCAAATTGCACTGCAGTTGCTATATCAAAATACATACCTGCGTGACTTTCACCACATGACCCTCCTTTGCTTCTAAAGCAGTCACATACTAGTTTGCAAATAATTTCCACAGCCGAAACACAACAAAAAAAACAAAACAATTTGCTATATACCAAGAATCTTAAAAAGAATAAAGATGTATGCAACATGCTCAAACAGTTACTGTGTTTGATTTATTTTTCTTTTCTTTCTGGTTTCTGCCCATGTAATTTGTCTTTTTCATGTTTATCCTATATTTCCTTGCTTCCTTACCCCTCACACCCAGGAGATGTGCTAAACAAGTCGAACTTGTGCTTTTGTCCAATGCTCTCCGTAGCTTCACTCACAGCAGCACTTTGCTGAATAAACTGATTGTTGAGGTGCAAAAGAGGCAAAACAGGCATGATGCTGAGATACGAGAATTACCTTATTTATTGGCGGCAAGACCTACAGTTTAGTTTCACAATTTTTAATAATGCCACCAGATGGCACTGTTTTTTTTTTTGGGTACCCCTGTGAGCACCAGAGATAGAGTGGAGCAACTTCTGAAAAGGTCAGGTTACAGAAAGCCATTTTGTTTTACCATCGCGCTAGTGTGCCATATATACTGTTATTTTAAGGTAAATGTTCTGTAAAATGTATAGTTTGTACTAAATATCAATTGATAATATTTTGTGACTGTCAGATAATGCACATTATGAGGTTTTTGTATGTATTTTGACAATATTTAGTGAATGTTGACACAATTGTCGAGAACTGTCTAAAGCAGTCTGTTGTAATTACAATGGCTTATTTTGTCACCTGATCTTTCAGAATCTCAATGGAAACCTCGATAATTGATGTGTGGAATCCCACTGCCATTTTATTGACGGGTCTGGACAGATGCACTATTGTGATATTTGTTTCCATTCTTAATCAGTCAGAGTGACATCTCAGTGTCTTTGCTGTCGATCCTGGTGAGCTGGATCAGTGGGTTTCAGTGAAGGAGTTCCCTATCTATACAGATGTCATTCTCAGTAAGCTAACACTATTCTTTTATCAAATGTAATGTAATATATTATACAGTCATAATTATCCATCTCTGAGATTACTTTATTTTTTATGTTGCATTTATTTGCATATTATATCTGAGGAACAAGTTATTTATTTTAAAGACTAAATGCAATTACAGTTCTCTAACTTTCTTAATAATAATAATAATAATAATAATAATAATAATAATAATAATAGATATGTATATGTTTATGTATTTGTATATATAGAACGCCATGTGTTGAAGGTTGTGCCTTTAATATGAGCACATACTAACCAAAGGCTTTAAATTCAAAGAATGAGGAGAGACATTACACTTTGAAGTGAGGAAAATATTACATTGCACAAAGACAAATATTCTTATTTTGGAAAAAAAAAAGGCAAAATGTAAATGTCAATATCACTTAATTATAGTATTTACAGAGAAATGATACTCTGCAAAAATGTTTTTATCGATTATATCACAAACCTTTGCCTCTGCTCTTTCTTTATCTCAAGAAAATTAGCTTGAGGTGGAGGATGAAGGGAATTTGATTCTTAAAATGTAGCAAAGTGATAATACACAGGCTTTAGCAGAGTATTATATGTTCCATCACCTGCACTAGAAGCAGCCACAGTGCTATTGTTGTCATTTGGGATAACATAAAAGCAATAACAACCGGTAGCATTGACATCAGTAACTGAAGATATCAGGGCAGGTGGCAGTACAAAAGAGTAATCATTCAGCTGTGCATCGATGTGGAATAGGCCTACGGGCCAAAAAGAAAAGCTGCTCTAATTCTTGCACTGTGTAGTCCTAATATTCAGTCTCTGACAGTCTCTGACTCACACAAACAGTCAGTCACACAGTACAGCACAGACACAAGCATACATAGATAAAATGTGTAATGTGTACACACACATAAAAATGTATATATATGTAAATATATATATATGTAAATGCACAGCGAAACTGAACTGTAGGTCTTTCTAGTTAGATTTATCCTGTTAAGACGGTGTGGTCTTACAAACTTTTGTGAAATGAGTGTGAAATTTTGACATATAAAGTATGTACATAAACAGGAGGTAAGAAGCACATTTACCCACCATGAAAGGATTAAGTAAAGGACAAAAGACAAGTAAAGGTTTCCTTTCTTTTCTTTGTTATATTGATCTAAAGGAAATCTGTGAAAAAAGCACTGTCCCAAAAAAAAAAAAAAAAAAACATTTTGTTTTGTTTCATGCAGACTAAAATGACCTACTGTATGTTCACATTAAATTTAGAAGCAACCTCTTGTGACCATGTGAACTATGACTGCAGTGTGTCAGAAGCAAATGCAGAAGTAATGTGATCAGTATTCTAACGCAGTCAGAGTGGTTGACTAGGTCAACAAAGCATGTTATTTTGACTTGGGAGAGCACTTTTCATTTCATATTTCAGTGTTGAGTTTAAAAGCAAACAACCAAGTAGCCTCCCTTTTAACAAGAGCATTTATGGTTTTATAATGTAAATGAAGCACTTTCAATCAGTGATATGTTTCTGTTCTTAATCAATAATCTATCTAACCTGATTTCCAACTGGCTAAGTAGTTCCTCTGTGTCCAAAATAACCATCTTTATTCCATTGCAGGTGAAAAAATAAATAACTGTCATTTGTGGCACTATTCCTGCCATAGGAGCGTTGGATCATAAAACTATGAAAATGGAATGAAAAATCACATATGTTGTTGTTGTTGTTGTTGGGAGACTTCTTAGTAATAAGCACAATCAAATTCCTGTCCGTAGCTTTCACATTTAGCTGACCCTGTTATTATTAGAGAATTGGTTCACTCACTTAACCCTTGTGGAATCTACCCACCAGTATGTTTGCAGCATTTTTTTTATAACATCTCTCTCCAGACTTTCCCAGATTTAGGAACTATCTAAATCTAATAAACTGAATAAAAACTGTTGAAAGTAAGGGCTGTGGATTACTTAGAGCAGCTGGATCATTCCATTTTGGAAGACATGTGCCCATTGGAATAGATGTTGGTAGGACACACAAAATATGAAACCCCTCAGTATTTACAGCACGCGCATTTGCCATGCCCAATAGAAACATGACGACTTTTATTATTAAAACACTTCAAAACCTCGCTGCAAAAAGGGCGTAAAGTGATTAAAATAATTGTAAACAAAATATTAAAATTCACTAAACTGCAAGAAAAAAGTGTTTGATTTCTAAAATTTCCACTGAGGGACCGTCAGACATCACACTGTATCCTTCTTCATGGTATCTACCTCCATTGTACTGGAGTGAAGGCACATATCTTAGACACAGATATCCCAGTCAATGAAAGCTAAAACCGTTGCCTGCATGCTACAAGATGTGTGAGAAGATTTGTGACATCTACACTGCTATGATGGACTAACATAATGCCTGACGGTTTAATATAAACGTGTTAAAATGTTCTTGTCACATAATTCTGTCATGGTGGAGGGATTTAATGTCTGTATTTCTTTGGCAATATGATGTCTGCCTTTTAGATGTCTCATTTCATGAAATTTTGTGAGACTATTTAATACACTCAAAAACAGGCAAAAACATGCAACTGTAGCCCAGCATGCATTCATGTATACAGGAGAAAAGAAGGACGAAAGTGAGAGGGAATTTTATAAACTTACCCAAACACTTACTTATTGTGATATTAAATACAGATAGGTGCATATTCTGAGCCAACTTAGATGACAGTTGCTGCTTTTTATTCTCTTGTGTGATCATATCGCCAGTAACATCAAAAAACACATGCGTTAACGGTAAAACTGCCGGGTCATGGCCGCAAGAGAGCCACTGGTGCCCAAAAGTTTTAGAGTTAACATGAACTTTTCTTTTGCTTTTTACTTCACCGTGCTTCAAACATCAGCCTCTTGCAAAATTCACTAGATCAAGGAAATACGCCTTCAACAAACACTGACCTAATTTCACAAACTGACAAATTTGTCTAAACAAAGACGCCAAAAGAGTAGAAAACTGATACAAATGACGTCCATAGCATTCTTGATGTTAGCTGCATTATCAAAGTAAACATTCAAGCAGATGAATGCTAAACCAATACTACAGAAAAGCTTGTATCCATTACAACACTTAGCAATCTATGCAAGACTAGAAGTACTTCACATTAAATTTCAATAAAACCAGTAGAATAAAGAGGCAGAGTATCTACTTTTTCCCTCCAGTTTTTATGTAAAGCACATTTACTGTATACTACCAGTGCTTACATTTCATCATGGTGTTCTACTGCAGATCAGTACAATGCTCTTGGTGTACTGCCCTAAACCCACATCATGGTATCACCTTTCATGACAAGAGGTCTGAGAACAATCAAAAGAAAAATAAACAATGACATCTTTAGATATGTTCACCAAAAGTATGTTTGGAGCAATCTATTTAGCCGCTGCAGACAGCACTCCATCCTTGCGTTGGGTTCCTCTGAACAAGAACAATGTGTTTTAAACTTGGGTGGCACCAATTGCCTACAGTTGAGGCTCCACTTATGATAGAATAATCACAGGAAAGAAAAAAAAAAGGAAAAAAATATATATATATGTGTGTGTGTGTGTGTGTGTTATTTTATTTTATATTTAGTTAATATAAATAGCTATATAATGTCTATCAAGTCTAGTCAGGGTTAAAAGTATAGATACATTAATCATCCTAAGAAAAGATTAAATGGACTGGAACCAGATTCAGTTCTGCTTTTCCAAGAACATGTCGAATCACCCAAACATGACAGCTCAACGCAAACTAATATATGTAGCAATTGGAGACTGTGGGACAAAACAAGCAGAAAAAAAGTGATAGACCATACTGAGTGACACTCATATTTGAAGCAAAGTGAAGGAAACAAGAAAAAAGAAAAGACAGCATGAACTCTGAGACACTGGGGACAGTGAGGGAAAGGTGGGAGAGGGGCGGCAGCCGTTCACATTGAGCTCGACACATCCCACACACACTTATGCAGACATATCATATGAGCGCACAACCTTTCTGCCACTGTCAGGGACATACACACAACCCTGAAACAGCTGATAGACCACAAAATCTCTTTCTAAACTCTGTGTTCCTGTGTATGTCTATATTTCCTCAGGGCTTTTCTTTAGTGGAACCACTGTGGGTAGAATCAGGCCAGAAGTAACGTAAAAGTCATGCCAAGTGCTAATCTGAAACAAGGCATGCAAAAATGAATTCTTTTAAAACATATAATGGTGGAATTTGGTAAGTACTTCTGTGATCCTTATTTTGTTAAACTGTATTACATTACACGCCAATGATGCTGAGTTAGAGCTATGGTGCATATCCACTGTCAGAGTGTTCACGATCCAGTAATCCTTGATATTAACCTGCTGTTAGTAAGATTGGCAAGGCTGAGAGATGGCAGTTAAGTATAAGACTGTGTGAAGCTGCAATCGCTGGAAGTGGCATGTTACCTGGCTATGACAAACAGCACACAACTGACACCCAAGTAAGCCAGCAGAATATACATCCAGATATCAGGCGACAGGGGGTTGAGGAAGGAGAAGACCCCAGGGTTGGTCCCGTTGGGCTTGCGGTACAGTATACTTATACCCAGCGTCATGAATGGCTTGGAAAAGTCGATAACCTTCTCGCGGACATATGTGATGGCGAGGGGAGCCACTGCCAGATCAGCTCTCTGTCAACAGTAAACATAAAGGGGAAGAGGGATAGGCTGTAAGTTATGGGCAGAGGAAGCATTTAGAGGCAATCAAATTAAGAAAACAGGGTCTTTACACACTACAGAGTCTGTCCTAAGGCACTTAGCTAGAAATTTAAAGCCCCCTTTCTCTTTTCACCTATCAAGTGTATTCCCACTATTAAATTCACCTTTTTCTCTCTAGAGCCTAAATCAAAGCATTTATTTCTTTTCTTTGCCTGCATTCTTCTTTTGTTATAATGTCTGGGAGCTGTAGATTATCTCAGTGCCATACCTGACTTGATGTACTGGAGACGAAGGCATATAGAGACCACATCCTAGCTGATGTTTTGTAAGAGCTCAGGTTAATGTTTGTTGATGTGCTGCAGTGGGAATAAGTTTGTTTTTAAATTAATATTACTGTCAACACATGCAGCTGATTGACCCATACAGTGTTATATTTAATGAACATTTACATGACGTTTCCATACAGTTGTATACAATGTGGCATGCTTGTGTGGAAAATATGTGCTTCAAAGATACAGAGAAGCAATCTTTTGAGCCAGCCAAGAAAAATCACGTTACCATATCTGGACCGTGTTGTGTGGTTGACAGTTAATAAATCTCAGGCTGTATTGTGACTATAAATGCAAAATGTTCACAGCAAGGTCAAGTGGCTCATTTCTCATAGATACATCCTTTTTGTCTTATGAAGGTTGCTATACATCACTTGAGGACGAATTGACTGAGCTCACTGCTCACAGTGATGATACATGGAAAGTCTAGCTGATAACAGCCATATCTGAATCCATCCTAACTACTTTAAGGGAGTAAAGTGTACGTACATACGGATGTGTTTACTCCACTGGACCAAATATAATTTTGCTTTATTTCTTAGACAAGAGCTTTCCAACGTGTTCAGCTCAATCCTGCATTTCCTCCACAACTAAACTTCTCTCTGACTCTCACTCCCCAGTCTATTGAGGCTCTGTCTACTGCAATAACCAACTGTTTAAGTCAAGCCCTGAAGAAGAAGTGGGGCAGGCCCACACTGAATTTCATCTCGCAGGGGATTGAACCCTTCACCCATGAAAAGACCAGCCGATCTGTCACAACGGCCAATCACTGCGGTGATCAAGAACAGAAATAGAAGACAAGTGTGGAGGAGTTAAGGGAGACTTGACCCCTTGTGGATGCTACTCCTAATGAGGTCAGATATTGACTATTGAGCATGCAGCGCCTGCTATTTTTCTGTCCGTGCAGTTTATCCTAACTGGGACTTTGTTGGGTGTAATGATCTACACTGTGAGCAGATTGTGTGTGCTTGTGTGTGTGTTTTAATAAGCTCTGTTGGGGAAACAACTCACGACAGAATCTATGCTCTCCTCGCATCACTGTATTCTCAAATTGTGCCAGCTGTTAACTCTTTATTTGCTTTCTTCCCTTCCTAGTGTGTGTCTGTATATTACTCCTCCTCATTACATTTTATTCTTGGTTATTTTCAATCAAACATTTGGCTGCTTATAGATCTTGACAGCTTACCCTGATTTTTGATTTGTGTGTTTTTTTCCTAAAGTTAATCATTCTAATGATTGTGTGTGCAATGTATACTCTAGTAAACTCTGTATGCTCTACCCTTTGAATTGAGGGATCAATAAAGTTTATCTTAGCTTATCTTAGTATTTTGAACTCCTTCTTGATCTATTTTAGTATGTTTTGCTGTGAAGTTCATGTTTTTTTCTGACTAATAAATTACTTTTAACAAATTAAAACAATTATCTAACGTACTGGTCATCACTGTTTAGTTGCTTCATAGACTAGAATACACTGAGTAATTTCAGCACTACGAAACACTGTTCAGATGACAGAAAAAGACTTCAATGTTTTGCTTTTCATCTGTGGCTGAAAGTTTGAAATATTATTTAGAAAGGAAGTGACCATCACTGAAGAAAATCTAATGTTTAATGCAGTTAGTAATCAATAACTGTAGTATCAACAGCTTGCATTTTCTTTTAACAACAAACCATTGATCTCGCTGTAATTTTATAATTTCCACTATTATGCTGTTTAACATTTTGTTCTTTCTCATATTCCTGTATATGTTATAAGTCCAACTAACTTGCTGCTTTAACTTTGACCTACTGTGTGCATGAACATCCTTCTAAATCCATTGTGCATATTAAATATTAAGAGTATTTAGTTCACAGCAATTCTGTTTTTACAGTTAGCACACAACAAAAAAGTATTTTATTTATAAAATAAATACAAATGAGTTCCATCTGGCAGCAATAAAACTGGCACTTTAGACTGTCATTGCCAATTCCTATTAACTAATGAAATGTTTTGAAATGTTTTCCGCACTCTTCTTTTAGTTTAATCATCTTTCAATGTACTTATTTTAAATGTTTTGCAGCTGTGAGCGACTCTTTTCCTTTATGCACTGTGGGTGACAGTGTGAATCACCAGCACACACAAAAAATGTTTTTTAGTCTCCACACTGCAGCTTTAGTAAATATATATATAGTTACTTTTCTACATTCATTAATATAAGAGAGTATTTGCTAACATTTGTGAAATGATGGACTGGTTATGAGAATATCTGAGGTACGCATACTTTCACTTTAACTCCAAATGAAGTGTTTTAGATAATCTGCATAAACCTGTCTGATCATCTGACTAAAGCTGCTTCTTGCTTGGAGTCCTGTGGTTTACAATGTTCTTCATTAGCTTGTTGTGTACAACATTATCTTAACTAAAAGAACTACTGGCAGAACTGAGATGAGAATTGTTTGTATTTATCGTATAAACTATCCATGATTCTTCCTGGTCTTCTGTGTAAAGTGTCCTTGAGTAACTGAATGTGCTCTATCAACAGAATGTATTCATAAAGTTGATCCTGTAACTAGAGGTGTAGGTTTTGTCAACTGGAATCACATTCACAGTCATTTAACTATGATGTAGAGACTCACGTGGTCCATTAGCTCCTTGACCATGCCATTCCACTGGCCTGTGTTCTCATCCTGGGCACCAAATTTTCCATCTTCTACCAGGCGAACTTCATAAGTGAATCCCAGGATGTTGGCCAGCTCTCTCAGCAGATCTATGCAATAGCCCTCAAAGCGGTCGTTCCCATACAGCGGCTTGTCAGACTTCTTGAACATCACATATGGCTCTTCCTGTTGGATGAAATAGTGGAGGAAGGATGAGTCTCTGCAGCACTTGGCATTTTTTACCAACTGATAAGGCCTATCTGAGAGGATGTGTGATATGTGAGATAGGCTTTTGAGATGCGCAAGTCCAAACACACACTGGCTCAGCTAGTAAAGCATGTATAAAGCTGCTGTGTTTGTGTGCGTGTGTGTGTGTGCCAGCAGTCCCAGTTCTGTGTTGTGAGGTAGGGCGGGTGCAAAGTGAGGCATGACCATAATACGAGATAATCCCCCATATCAATGACTCTGTGCTCCTCTCAGGCACAGCAGGCTGGCTTTGGGCCCAGGCCCAGCTTTTAGGGCACCACACGCTTTGTCAATAAGATAAGAGATGCTGATAGACGGACACAAAAAGAGAAAGCAGGAGCTGGTACATCCCCTCTGTTCACACGAACAGCTGGGGAGATTACTACTGTCTTTTTTCATACTGTTTCCTTTTTCTGCCTCCCGCCTACTGAGCATCTCCTCTGCCATGTCCTTCTCCTCTCTCCCCTCCATGCTTCACTCCCTGTTCCCTCCTCCGCCTGCTTCCTTTCCTCTCTACCTCTTTTCCATGCACCATCTGTCTTTGTTAGCCTTAGATGCTCGTTCTTGCAGCTCGTCCCTCATTTCTACGACTCCCTTGTCTCTCTCAAACAAATAAAGCCCAAAATATATCGCCAAGCAGGTGTTGTTTATCATATAACTGTACCATGACTGAAACAAAGAAACAAACAAAAATCATTAAAGATCACTAACAGCTTTAACACATTTCCCTGCCTGGAACTTTCCACGGCAGGCTGGGAAAAAAAACAGGCAGTTTATGCAGCATAGTATGCATTTGCCTTGGCGTAGCGATAGTAGACAGATGTTGACCATAATGATTTCACTGCATCGCATTGTGAGGAGACAAATTATTGCAGAGATTTTTATTTTATTTTATTTTCAAGGTGTGACAGTTTTACTAATGTGTAATTACAAGCTAAATTTTTTTGAACCCTTAATCAAAATTTCTCTGTTATACAAGTGTGAAATTCATGTACAGTATCAAAAACCCATGTAAAGGTTTTCGGCACCACAACAATGTACAGGGCCGATAAAAAGAAATCCTCCTACTTGGAAGTGTGTCCCTTTCATTGCTTTTCAACACTGAATCATGGTCAAATTTCCAAAGTAATGTCAATTAGTTAAAAATGTAAAACATAAAATAAGTGATTGCATAGGTTTCCATTATCTTTTACTGTTTTGTGTAAATTCTTGTCAAAAAAGTCAAATTAAATTGAAAATGATTCAATGTTACAAAGCAATATAAAGGGAAAAATTTCCAAGGAAGAGCGAATACTTTTTATGGGCACTGTAAGTCTTAGCTCTAATCCCTCATCTTGTGCTATTGGCTGGTGAATCTGCAGCCGGCAACCAATTGTAATGCACTTGGGCATTGGAACTGCATTTCTAGGCCTCTGGGCCTGTTTTTCTGCCTGCTCACACCCAGATTGTTAATATGAGCTATTTGGCCAGGTCAGCTCACGCGTATTTGGTTGTCAGTTAAAGTCAGAAAATTTGTGATTTTAAGGTTGTCATTTAAGGTTGGCTTACACTCCCATTTCTCTCTTCTTTGTATTATAGCTACTGCTATATTCTTGTCATGAAGCTCTATAGAGGAAGAGCTGTCATTCCTACAGTCCCTTTATTCTGTTATTTTCTCTTCACAGGGAGGAGATTAATGTAATCTTTCTTTTTGGGAAGTTATTTATTTGCGATTTTTTATCTCCAGAGAGGTCTCTCCCCTAAGCTACAGCCAAGGTTCTTTATCTGGCAACAAAAATACTGGAATGCTGAGCAAATTGATTTCTCATATTTTTCATATAGTTTAATGTTACTCCCCTTGCCCGAGGACCAATTTGGGGTCGTAACATTCGTTGTCACGGTGCGGAATAAATTTAGGAATGATCAGATACCTGATAGTATTGTGTTATGAATCTAGGAAGAATTTAAACAGATGAAATGCCTAAACATTTACATATTTTGTTAGATATTGTCATATGTAAGTTGTAGTTTCAAAATATTGTGAAATTATCAGTATATCAAAAGAAAAACCCATGGCTAGCAGACATTTTTGTCATGTCAGATGCTTTTACATATATAACACTAGAAGTTCACCAAGCAAATGCACATATTGAATCATTTATTTCCTACTTTAAATATTATGTAAAAGCCTCTTAATAAAATGAAACATGAAAGTGGTCTTTTTACAACTGATATTTTACATTTAAAATGTGAAATATTTGAAAATCCCCTGTACGTATACTGTAGTGATTTATTGCATATAAATTGTTGTTTAAGATGTAATTTGTGAAGTTTGCATCTCTTACCAAAAAATACATAAATAATCAAAACATAATCAACAGAACCACAAAGACAGTTTCTCTGTGGAGCTGTTGATTTGTGGTGCACACAAACCTCACTGTAGCAGTGCTTCACCATCATGAGTCTGATCTCTTGTTGTTGCCTCTAATTTGTAACATTGTACAGGAACCATTTAATTTTTATTTCATTTACTGCTGACACAGCTCAGTACACATTATGTTCTATCGGCTACAGCTGCTGGATTGCCAGATACTTCTGATGTAATCTTGATGGAAGAACCGTCCGCATAAAGATAGCAGGATCCCTGCTAGTATTTGATGTACAGACATGTAGGTGAAGATGAAAATAAGTCAAATCAGCATATACTTCCATAACCTCTTGTGCTAAAATAGGCACACATGCCAGGCCTAATCACCAAATAATTACTGTTGACTAACCAACACACCGACACACTGATCTGACAGCAGTCTGTTTTGCAGGCAATATGTACACTCTCAGAAATCTTGTTTTTCTTTGTCAGTTCATTGCAACACCTAAAAAAATTCAAGGTTTATTCCCTATCACCATAGTAACTAAAACACTGCTTCCAGTGTTTTTAAATCCGTACAGGTAGTTTTCTATGGATGTTTATTACTGTGTGCAGAAAGACAATACTCACTGTCGTTGCCAATAACAAGAGTGTAGAGAAAGGCTGTATCTTCTCAAAGGGGTTTTCATCTTTTCATTTTCAAATATCCTAACTTTATAGGGTTATTTATGGCTTACTGTCTCAGTTATTGTGTGTTAAATTTGAGTCCTATTTAGAATATTTAGAATAGACTGGCTGAGAAACAAAGCCTCCTAAATCAAATTCAGTGTCCTAAGCTATAATATACAAACACTTTTATGTCTGGTGGCCTTGCTTTAATACGAGTCTGACTTACTGGATGTAGATTGTGGGTAGAAAGCCACCATTGGTTGTACATTCTATGTAATCATCTTTCCCATCATCACGGGAAACAATAACAACAACCTCCAAGCAGCTGTAAACACCAGTCTACCTCACCAGATGTGGGAAGCATGTATAGGCCAATAAGCATTTCAGCTGGCTCTGTCCGTCCTTCCTATCTGTGTGTTCTTCACAATGGGAAACAACAACAATCTCCAAGCAGCAACCAACTACACTCAAAATTCCAAGTTTTGCCATGGCTTTGGATCGTTCAGTAAAGCTGTCCTGCCAATGTTCCATCACATTTCCACCCATCACTATTTTGAGGGAACACGAAAGCTGCATCATTCGCTCAGCCCTGTTTACGACTGTGATTGGTGTTAAAGAAATACAAACAAGTAACTGTGTTTTTCCCCTATAGCAGAATGATAATGTGGTGCAGCCAGGCCATTACATATGACAAAATGGACGAGCAAACCAACACTACCAATACTCTGAAAGTTTCACGTTTTTCCAAAGGTTTGAATTGTACAATAATGCAGCTGCATTGTTTTCCCCCCAAATTATTCGTTTCATTTGCAGTGCTTTCCTTATTGCATGCAAATGATCTACCAAAGCAATTCCCTCATCCCTATTGCTGCATCCTATACTTTGGCCCACCCAAGACAATTGTTGTTGGTTTAAATAAATACAAATACACCAGAGCGTTATATATATATATATATATATATTCATAGAGACTACAGTGACTTCACAGCATCTCTAAATCCATAGAATCCTACATAAGGATAAATGGATTTCATTTTAAGGGAGCAAGCTGATTTCTAAAGTTAAGGGCAACGTATCAGCTTTTCCTGCAATTTCAAGTACAACACACAGTCTTGATGAGAAGATGTCGTTTTTTTTTTTTTTTTTGTGTTATGGTTGAGTTTATTAAGAGCGTGATGCTCTTCATAAGATATTGTGATAAGCGTCAAACTTCTGTTTAATTGTATGTATGTATGTATGTATGTATGTATGTATGTATGTACAAAACCTGACATGCACTTGGATAAAGGGTGGAATCTGATAATAATAATTATTATTTATCCATGGAAGTTGGACCTTTGATTCTGGTAAAAAAATTTGATATTTGGTTTATTAGAACATTTAGATGACATGTATGAGGTTTACTGTCCATCAGCTCCCACTGTTCATAAATATGCCAATAAATTCAACCACAATGCCATATAGTATGAAGTGAAAGTTAAATAAAAGACTCCTTAAAGAATGCTTAATATTGTATTTCTGAAGTAATTTTTCTAAAAATTAATTTAGTTGACTGTTTCAGATACAAAAATGACTGTTCACAAACTGTGAATGAAATATCTACCAGCTTAAGCTCAATACTGCAATACAAAGATGATCCTAGTGATGATTCACGTGCAAGCTTTATTGCAAGTTGCTCATCACAGCAACACCTCTACATTCATTCTATGTGTTGCGTGTCTAAAGTGATACTTCAGTCAGACTTCTGACAAAGAAGATGGAGTTCAGGGAGCAAAAAGACAAAAAGAGACAATTGTTTAACATAGTTAGAGAAGAAAAAAAAAACAAAAAACAAAAAAAAAACACAGAATGTTACCAAGAGAAGCTAAAAGGCTGGCTTCACAGCTGGCCAATCCCAGAGTAAAGTTGGTGTCCGATTATCAGT